AAAAAAAAAAAAAAAAAAGTTAGAATGACTTCCTCTGGCTCGTAGTTCTAAATGGCTGAACTTAGACTTGAGCCTCACACAGGTCATCTTCCCTTTCCCGCTGAGTGTACACGTGGCAGCGCCCCATCACAGCAGCGGCAAGATTTGGAGGACCTACGTAATTCCTAATTATGTTCTAGGTTCTCGGGGACAAGTGAAGTTTTCCAGATCTTCAGAATACTCTATAAAATCTTTTTTACCAAAAAAAAAAAAAAAAAAAAAAAAAGGAAGGAGGAGGAGGGACAGCCAGATTTACCAAGGTCATGAAAGCAGGTTGATCCTGAGTACTAAATTGATTTACAGCTTTCTGTATTTGCATTTAATTACAATGCTAACATGCAGTGTAAACAAGGATATAATTTATTCAGGTACAAATAATCGACACATTGTTTTTGTGTTGTTTTCTCGCAAGTTGAGGCTATGTATCTGTTAAGCTTTAAACTTTTTTTGATGTTCTTAAAATAATGAGTTTGCATATATGTCGATAACTACGCACCTGTTTGTTCTCTGAGAATTATCCATGATGGGGCACTGTCCCAGGCCCTCCCCCGGGCCCGAATGCTGCCTTGCACGTTGTAACGCGGGAGCCCGTATTGTGTGTCTCTGTACTAGACAAAAGGGCAGCCACTGAACCCCTCCTGTGCCTGAGAGGGTGCCTCTTCTCTCTGCTATTAATCGGTGAGCACCTTCTACAGGATAGGGACCCCTCTTTCAGGCTACTCCTGTGTGAGCGTGGCAGGAGGTGGAGCAGTACAAGCGTCCAGAAGGGAGTTGTGAGAGCGCATCACGTGGGAGCAGCCGTAGCAGGAGTGACTTCCCCTTCCTTCCTTCTTGAAATACCTGCAAATGTACCTCTGATTATGCTCCTGAATCCTGAACAACAGACCTCTCGTTATCCCAGTTTGCGGAGTCCCTGGAGCAGAGACTAATTGTGCCGTAGCATGTAACAGTTTTGTAGTTGAGGAAAAAAATGCTTGTCGGGGACTAACACGAAACCACTACACTCATTTTACCAACTGCCTGGCAGGGTCTCTGAGCCCCCACGTTCTGGAGGCAAAAGGTGGTGTTGTGTTCCTGCTTCCAGCAGCATCTGCCATTCGGCGGCGGTGCAGACGGACTTGGACTCTTCCAGCGCCCCGGCTGGTTCCACTGGAGATCTTACAGATCATTACAATGACGATGTTTCTGTGTCATTCTGTCCTTGAAGGAGCACAGCCATTTAATTCACACTTCTGTTTATTGCAGAAAAAGCAGCGGCCGCCAACGTGGATGAAGTGCAGAAGTCAGACGTGTCATCAACCGGGCAGGGCGTCATCGACAAGGACGCGCTGGGGCCTATGATGCTTGAGGTAGCGTACCCTCGTTCAGGCTCTGTCCCCTGCCCTGTCGTTGGTCGTCACGTTATTGTGTTCCCTTCTCAGGTGGATATAATTTCAAAACAATCTACACTTAGTTTTCACTCGTAAAGCTTGAAGTACTGCTGACTTCTGGAGCTTACTGATACATACGTGCCTGGCTCCAGATTTCAGCCTACATACATTTCCCAGTAATAACAGAGCATTGCCTGAGCTAGATTATAAATTGACAAAGTAAGCATTTGTTTTGGAAAATCATGCTCACAAGTCCTATTAAATTCAGCAATAGAATTTTCATTTGAAATATTCCCCCAATTCTTAGATTTTACTTATGCCATGTGTGGATGTCCATGCAGGCAGTTAAAATTCGAGGACCAGATGGAGGCTTATGTTTTTTATTTATGCTGCTTCAAACTAGTTTATCTCATAAAGATGAAAACGGCAATAATAGGCAGAGCTGTTCAGGTAAGCATCACAAGTGTAGTGATTGGTCTTAACTCCCTGTTCTTTATTAACTTTGAGAAGTTTTATGACCAGACTCCTATCTAGAATTTGTGAAGTCTCGTTTTCCTCTTTTATTAGCTAGTACAGTATTAAACACCAAGTGCTTTGCTGTACCTATTCCGAAATTAAAATTCAAGATGTAGGCTATGGGAAGATGAGGGGAAAAAAATGTCGGTGAATATATAACAAGAAGCAGAGGAGCCCTGAGACATAAATTATGTCAGATCTCAGGATAATTTACTCTGCGGATAATATGATGAGATTGAAAATTACCGCATGGCCGCAAGCTGGGTGGCTTCGTCACGTAGAATCACTTACCTCGTGGCAGTAGCTGCCCGTATAGGAGAAAGTAGGATTTTTAAAGCAAAGATCACCAGTAATTGCCCCCTTTCTTTCAGTTGGTACATGTGATGATCTTTATTTTTAGAGAATATCATTCTGTGAAAATTTATCCTACTCTTGGAAGGTGGGGTGGGGGGACACAGAAAAAATTAAAAATCGTCTGACCCAGTCTTTGTATTTAGAAATGACAAGATTCTTGACCCTGGCCCTGCTAGCCAAAAGACTTTCAATGACCCTGTGTTGTCCCTTGCTTATTCCTCTTGAGTCACTAGCTTGACAGTATCCAAGTACAATTTTCAGGGAAAAAGCAAAAACACACTTAACCTGATTTTCCAGAGTCAACAAGGAACGCCAGAGTGCTACTTCCTGCTTGGTTCTAAGAAGCAGATCAGAGAACTCTAACCAGGCGGACTATTTAGAATTAGATGAAAGTAGATAGGTTTCTGTGAAAAAATTTTTAATTATAAACAAAACTGATTTGGAAATTATGGTAACCTAAATTATTAACTTATTAGGAAATTCCCAGATATCTGCATTGGTTCCCTATATGGGGGAAGATTACAGGAGGGTGGAAACTCCTGAAAAGATTATTGAGACTTCTAAAAAGACGTGTTTGAAGTAACCACAAGACTATGATTCAGGCCCTCTGAGAGCAAGTTCATTGATTATAGAAATCAGACTGCTGGGTATTAGTGGGCCTTCTCTCACAAAATCAGACCAGCATTTTTACTGTTTAAAAATAGTCTTCTGGGGTGCCTGGGTGGCTCAAGTGGGTTAAAGCCTCTGCCTTCGGCTCAGATCATGATCCCAGAGTCCTGGGATTGAGTCCTGCATCGGGCTCTCTGCTCAGCAGGGAGCCTGCTTCCTCTCTCTCTCTCTGCCTGCCTTTCTGCCTACTTGTGATCTCTGTCTGTCAAATAAATAAATTTTTTAAAAAATAGCCTTCTGAGAATTCAGTGGCAAGGACTTCTGTGGCAGGACTTCAGTGCTGAATAGGTTAGAGGGTTAATGCTCAAATCTAGTGACTTAAGGTTTGAAGTCTTTATCCCTGTTTACATGGAATAATTTAAACAGGGAAAACTTGTTCTCGTTGAGCTGTTCCTAGGCATAGATGCACACTCATGCTTACATCATAGCATAGTGGTTGCTAGGCAACAAAGCCAAATGTCAGTTTTTTTCATCAGAGCATATCACAGTGTGCTTTAAAAAACACGGTCTTATAAGATGAAACACTTTCATCTTTCAGTCATACTATGCTATAAATTAGTCTTTTTGTCATGGTGCAAAGCAGTGGGGAGCTCTCTGCATTTTCAAAAGGGAGCTATAGGTAATATAATTACGAAAATCCCTGTGAATGTATATCCGAAGCAGTTAGTTTAGAAAGACACGTGGCACATAACTCATCAACTGACTTCCTTCCTTTCCCCCTTCACAGACATACACCCGCATGTGCTTACTCACACAAGGCTTTCAAGGGTTGCTGCCAACCTGTTGTGGAAGGCCATTTACATACAGTCTTGCTTTGCCCTGCACATCGTTCACACCATTGGTAAAACCTGACAGAATATTTCAGAAAGACTTAAAATTGAATGGTGTTACTTTTTTTTTTTTTTTTTTTTTTTTTGAAGAGCTATTCACTGGTGCCTTATGGTCATTTCTAATTTGAGAGAGCACTTAGTTTTGTGATGAAAATAGAATTAAAGATGGAATATATTCAAAGAAAGCTCACAAAATAGGAGCCTGTTAAGTAATAACTTATGGAAAAAGCAAACTAGGATAAAAGTAAATACTTCGTGCCCCAGCCATACACATTGTCATGTCAATATGTACACGTAACTTTCATGTTAAAAACAATAGTAAATACATAGCACAGGGAAGCTGTGTGACACAAGCTGGGTAGACCAGGAGGCCCTATGTCAAGATGTACCTGATCAGTATCAAGCCTTCTGTAGTCTTTTTTTTTTTTTTTTAAGATTTTATTTATTTATTTAACAGAGAGAGAGAGAGAGATCACAAGTAGGCAGAGCAGCAGGCAGAGAGAGACGGGGGTCCGGGGGGGTGGGAAGCAGGCTCCCTGCTGAGCAGAGAGCCCAATGCGGGGCTCCATCCCAGGACCCTGAGATCATGACCTGAGCCGAAGGCAGAGGCTTAACCCACGGAGCCACCCAGGTGCCCCTAGCCTTCTGTAGTCTTGATCACTCACCTAATCTGTAAAACAGGGCTCTGACAAGCACAGACCCAAAAGGAGAAGGAGGAGTCACAAAGAGAAACTCTCCAAACTCTAAACTTCCGTATCACCAAGGTGAACATGATAGGAAAAGATTTGGGGCAAACACTGAAGTAGAACTCTGCTGCAGAGTAGTCGCAAGCCGGAGCTTTTGAGTCCACCTGGATTCAGATTCTAGCTCTGCCACTGACTGAGTCGGAAAAGCTTATGTAAACCACTGCCCCTCTTAGAGCCTCAGTTTCTTCCTCCTCTGCTAATTGAAGAAGGTAGCACATTCCTTCCAGAGTTGTAAATATTCAGGTGACCCGATGTGTTTGGGCACAGTAAACATGCTTGGTAGTTACTCTCATTATCTTTATTTCCTGAAATGATCCTGGAGTCTTTCTGTCCTTCCCTAATCTAGATTGGAATGACAACAAGGAGGAGTGGGGCCAAGCCACATTGCAGGAAAATGTTAATGTTATCTAGGTGGTTAGGGACCTGCATCTCCATGACTAGGGAACAAATCATAGAGAAGGGCACAGTTAGTTAACTTTCCAGTTCTCACTGTCAAAAACCAAAACCTCAAGTCCCCTTCCAGTCTTCAGACTCTACCACTGATGTCTCAGCGTGCGGTCCCCGTTATCGGAGAGATACTTCAGACCCTTCCCCTAAAAAATAAAGGATTGATGTTTGAGAACACCTGCAGTTCTTTTCATTTAAACCCTGGCAGCTTTAAAGGTAATAAAGTTTGGGGTTTCTTAATCCTTAAACTGAAGGAAAATTATCGATGACCCTTTCCTCCCATTGTGTTACATGAGAAACGGTAGAACATAATCGCTTTGTACTGGGTTGGTAACGTAAGCGTTGTCCTTGGCCAGGTGGAGTCCATCAGTATAATTTGGAAAATACAGATAAATGCCTGCACTTACATGGCAGTAGTTATCTCCTGATAACATAACAGAGTTAGTATTTGTCATTTAGTTTGCCACAAGAAACCTTGATGTAGGCTCTCTCCCACTTACTAAGACGGAACAATTTCACCACGCGAAAATGTGTTCATTTTTCCCCGAAACTAGGAGAGGGGCGAGAGAGAGAGAGAAATCTCTTTTTTGTCCATGTGTGAATTCCACCCTTTCCCTTAAGGGGATCATCCCTTCTTAACAGCTGCATATGATTTTTCTCTTGTGTCCTTTCTAACATGGTTTGTGCCTTTTCCCTTAGGCCCTTGATGGGTTCTTCTTTGTAGTGAACCTGGAAGGCAACGTTGTATTTGTTTCAGAGAACGTGACACAATACCTAAGGTATAACCAAGAAGAGCTGATGAACAAAAGTGTATATAGCATCCTGCATGTTGGGGACCACACTGAATTTGTCAAAAACCTGCTGCCAAAGTCTATAGGTAAATGCTTGTCTGCTGCTCCCTCCTCCCCCATGGTTGGAGGGGGTCACATAGAACTGGGTGGTATGTCAGTTGGGGATAAGGGTAACTGGGTAGTTCTTCAGAGAGGCTTGTATTAACTATTTAAGCTTCAAAGTCATGGAGAAGAGGACATCTGCAGATAGTGATCTTGAAGGAAAGATTGTTTTGATCCTCTATTTAAAGTACATGAAAATAGTTCAGATGGAAGGGACTCCTGTGGCAACTGTTTTCATAGGGTTTGTTTCAATGTTTTTTTAAGGGGGTGCCACACTGCCCCCCACTCTGTCCAGCACCAGCCGCCTCTGATTGGGCTTGTGCTCCTTGGTTCTAAGAAGTAGAAGGTCATGAGAAGTTTGAGATTGGACTTGAGAAAAACAAGATTTTAAGTGCTGCTAATGAAGAGAGTCTGTGTGTGGGTGCCTCCAGTATCCTGAGGCCATGACATTAAGGAACAAGTGGCACATGGAGGGTCAGATGCTGTCGGGCCAGCAGCCCTGAGTGGGCTCTTCCATATTCCAGATGCTTCGGTGGCTCTGCCTCCTTACCCACTCTCCCTGGTCCACAGCGCCGACTTCCTTTCTCTCTAAAGATGCTCTCCAAGGGTGTCTAGGAGTCTTGAGGGCCACGGTTTCAAGTGGGTGGTTCGCAGCGTAGGCCCACCTTCCTTGCTGCTCCAGAGTATTGCCGTTCCCACTTACTAAGTGGTTCTTTTTTTAATATTCTCACTTAGACTGATGATGCTAAGAACATCTTCACAGATAAAAGGAAGTGCATATTTTAGTACAGAATAAGGTCAAGTCCTGAGTTAGCAAGTATTTCTGTTCTTTTTTTTTTTTCAAACGGTTTCTGTTAGCCAGTCTTATTGTTACCGCAGTAAATAGGAGAAGGCCCTTTTTGAATTCCATGAGGGCTAGCTTTTCCTTGGCAGGATAACCCTTTGTTCAAAGTGACTGCAACAGTAAGACAAAACACATGAATATTCATGTGAGATTCTTTTATTATATTCTGTAGTAAATGAACAAGAAAATGGGATTTCTTCAAGTAACTAATATTTCAGATCTCTTCAGTAATTTGATGACTTCCTCAAAGGACCTGTACTTATTAATTCACTATTATTAATTCACGTGTCTAAAGAGCTCTTTTCCTGACTTTATACTGTACTTCTTTTATATTTTAAAAATTACTTATTAACCTGAGTTAATAAGAACTCTTTTTTTCTTTCTTCTTTGATTTTTCTCTTTGTAGTATCCATTATGTAAATAAGCTTTTAAGAATACCGATGGCGGAAGAAACTTCCCAAATGTCTGCACGACGTATAAAGTTAGCTATGGTTCCTCCTGTGATTCTAAAACAGTTTCTTGCAGTTAACTTGATATTTCCTTTGTTCTTTCCAGGGTGTGTTTTCTTTTTTATTCCTTTGCAGCCCAGTGGCTATGGGCTTAGCATCGCATTCACCAGAGCACCTAGATATCCTTTTAAGTATTTTCCCACAAGTGAGCTTTGAGAGTGTGTTTGCTTATCTAACCACTGGCCCTTTTTTTTCGATCCCCTCTTTCATTGTCCTATTGATTGTAATATTTTTTTAGATAAAACATAAAGAACAGTAAAGAAAAGGATACCAAAATGAGTATTAGGATTGGTTCTGATTCCAGCTCTTCTTTGATTTCTCTTGATTGCTTTAACCCATTTCCCCAAAAAAGTGTCTTTCCTCTGTGTCATTCTCTCTTTCTTGAATTAATACATTTCTAAGGATTGACACTAAAGTAGAAGACATGTGACGTAGCCTTTCCCTTGGTAAAAAATAAATGATATTAGCAGGGCCTCTGCAGGGAGTTTTCAGTCGACTTGAGGAAATGTACATGAAACAAAATAGAGTCATTCAGCAACAGCTGAATTACACAATACATACCAAAATTTCTGTAAAATTCTACGGAAGAAAGGTCTAGAAGAGGAGGGGATGATGAGATCTCGGCCTCAGAGCCGGGTATGCTGGGCTGGGAGAAATAGTGGCAGATAAGGTGGCAGGAGCACCGGTGTCCTTGTGGGACCAGGTGTGGAGGCTGGTGGGGGAGGCCTGTGCGGGCCAGTGTGGGGGATCTGGTTAGACGGGTAAGATGGGGCTGCTTAGTGAGATTTAGTCCATCGGTTCCGGCGGCCTTCGTATCCCCGACTACATCAAGTCTGCATCCTCTTAAAGAGCTTGATGCGTGCGGCACTTGGTGCCAGTTCCAGATTTTTGAGCGGGGATAACATATCTAAAGGGCGTAAAATATCTAAAGTACAAGTAGGTTGAACCAGATTTCCAAGACACCAGAGTAAGGAAAATCCAAAAATGAAGAGCAGTGTTCTAATAATAGTTAACCAAGGTCTGACCTTGAAGGAAGGAGTCAGGGTGAAGAGTAAGAGGGCTAAAAGTTATTTTGGAAATCCCAAGCATTTTTCCCAGCTTGTTTAGCATCAGCATCATTTCGATAATTTGGCAGCGGCGAGCCTGGTGTTGGTTTGTAATTGTCGGATTGCTTTTACCGCCCTCAGTGAATGGGGGATCCTGGTCTGGCGAACTTCCTAGGCGGAACAGCCATACCTTCAATTGTCGGATGCTGGTAAAACCTCTACCAGATTCGGAAGAAGAAGGTCACGATAACCAGGAAGCACACCAGAAATACGAAACTATGCAGTGCTTTGCTGTCTCTCAACCAAAGTCCATCAAAGAAGAAGGAGAAGGTAGGACAAAATCTGCAGGCTGTCTTACATGTCTGTGTGTTTATCCCTGTGCTGCTCTTTTCATACTTAATTATCTAAAATGAGTGGCCACACAAAGAAGAATGTAGAAGTGGTTTCTCCATTCTCTTTAACCTACTTAATTCTTGTGATAAATTCGTCTTTTTTAAAGATTTTATGTATTTGTCAGAGAGAGTGCACACAAGCACAGGCAAGGGGACAGGGGCAGGCAGAGGGAGAAGCAGACTCCCGCTGAGCTGGGAGCCTGACGTGGGACTTGATCCCAGGACCATGGGGTCATGACCTGAGCCGAAGGCAGACGCCCAACTGACTGAGCCACCCAGCTATCCCTTAGGTTCGATTTTTAAGTCTTTCAAACAGCGCTGTTCAGTAGACTGTTCTGCAGTCATGGCAGTTTTGTGTATCTTCTGTGTCCAGTGCAGGCCCCACTGTGCCTACTGAGCACTTGCAATTTCAGTAATGCCACTGGGGGACTGAATTTTGTATTTTATCAAGTTTCCATTTACCTAGCCACTAGTGGCAGCCCTACTAGAGAAGCTCTGGTAATAGTTAAGCTTCCCGGGGATCCGAGGCTCCTCTGGATTGTCTACTGCAAGCAGCGAGCCGCAGACCTAGAAAAATGCGCAAGTACAAACAGTATTTTTCATATCCTTTCTGGGGGTTCATGGATTCCGTACAGTTGATCCATGGATGCAGGGTCCAGAATACAGTGTACTAGAATGATCCACAAGAGAGGATAGAGATGGGAGTGACTGAGGGAGGGGATTTCAAGCTCTCAGGTTCTTAGTCCCTTCCCCTTAAAGGATGCGGCTGTAGCATCCACCCGGATGCCCTCCAAGCAAGCCATTCTGTGCCGCTGAGTGTCCTTCTCTCCTCTGAGGCTTTGAAAGAGAGAAAGTGCGGAGGGGCACTCGGGGGTGAAAACCTAACGGGCTTTATCATCAGACACGCCAGCTCCTCATTCAGCCGCTTCCCAACTCTGGCTTTGGGCCAGTCTTTTGACATCTCTGAGCATCAGTTTGCTCTCTCCTCTCATCAAGTGAGGTCAACAATGCCAGTATCAGAGTAAGGATTAAATGAATACGCCTGAACCATGATCAGCCTTAAATAGTCCAGAACGTACCCAACTTCCGAGTCTTGACTTACTGTTTTTTGACATTAGGACTGTGCAAAAGCCATACACAGTCAGTAGAAACCATACTTCAAATTTTTTAATTCAGCTTTTTCCCCGGGCTAGCGATATGCCTACAGTCCTCTCTCAGGATACTGGGCAGCGACAGCGAGCCACAGCGGAAGCTACACTTCCGACTGTTCTGCACCCGTTGTGTCATTCACCTTCAGTGTAGTATCTGGTAAATTACATGAGGTGGTCAGCACTTCATGAAAACACAGGCTTTGTGTGAGATGATGTTGCCCATAGTGTGTCTGAGCACATTTAAGATGGCCGTGGCTAAGTTACGATGTTTGGTAGGTTAGGTGTAGTAAATGCATTTTCACCTTACAGTATTTTCATCTGAATATAGGTTTGTCAAGGTGGGGCACGTGAGTGGCTCAACCAGTTGAATGTCTGACTCTTGGTTTCAGCTCAGGTCGTGATCTCAGGGTCTTGGGCTCAAGCCCCACGTCGGGCTCCACACTCAGCAGCGAGTCTGCTTGTCTCTTCCTCCCTCTGCCCCGTCCCTACTTTTGCCCTCTCGCTCTCTTTCTCTCTCTCTCGCTCGCTCTCTCAAATAAGTAAATCTTTAAAAAGAATAATAAAAATAGGTTTATCAGGATGTAACCCCATTGTAAGTTGAGGAAGATCTGTAGTTCATTCTTTTTTTTAAAGAATGTGAAAGTAATTTGTAATTTAAATTTTATTGAAAAGTAATGGAGCTCTCACAGATGACATAATTTTTCAAAATTAAGTTTTTACGTAAGTATGCAATGTTGAGGGATATTTTTTTCTTTTTATGCAACAGACTAAGTACTGCCAATTCACCCATCTAGGACGCCACTCCAAAGTGGAAAAAAAAGATATAGCTGATCTAATTTGTGGTTTTGTGCTGTATATTTAAACATTTTTGTACATTTAAAGTCTGGTTCTCAGTGTTAACACAGTATGGCTGAGGAGGATTTCTGAGCCATAGTGTGCTCAGGTTCGAATCCTGGCTTCACCAGCTTTGTACGGTGTTGGGCAACTTACTGAAATTCTGTGCTGTGGTTTCCTCCTGTGTTAAATGGAGAGAACGCCAGGACCTGCCTCATAGAGCTGGCACAAGGACGACACAAACCGGTAGCCTCTAAAGCAGCTAAAAGAGATGTCTGCCTCGTAGTGTGTGCTCAGAAATTTAGCTTTTTATTATGTTGAGAACGAGGATTACATTCATATTTGGGATACCCACTATTTCTGGGTATATTTTTTTTTTATTTTTTTTTTTAAGATTTTTATTTATTTATTTGACAGAGATCACAAGCAGGCAGAGAGGCAGGCAGAGAGAGAGGAGGAAGCAGGCTCCCCGCTGAGCAGAGAGCCCAATGCAGGGCTCGATCCCAGGACCCTGGGATCATGACCTGAGCCGAAGGCAGAGGCTTTAACCCACTGAGCCACCCAGGCGCCCTTCCTGGGTATATTTAAAGAACTCCTTCCCCAGATTTCAAGACGAGCAATCATAAATCAAGGACATAAGATATGAAGACTGCTTTTGACCTTTTTTCCAGCATTTTGAAATTGAAAGAGCTACACAGTGTGCCCTGCATGTTACAAAGATAAATAAAACATTTCCCTGTTCTCTAGAAGTGAACACGGATGAATAAAACAATGTCAGTGGGTAAGGAATGAAGGCTCAGCATGGCTCGGTGAGAAGCCAGCCAGGACCGAGATTCTGACTGGTAGCGCGGCCGCTCTGGCACATGCTGCACTTTCCAGTATTTGTTCTCCGAGGTCAACTCCAGCCTCGGTTTACATTCTTGGTTTGAAAGCGCATGTTGCCATTCTGGGGGCAGCCGCATCATTGGGTAAAGGGGACGTCTAGTGTTCCGGTAGCGTAGTGAACCAAAAACTCAAAAACCAAACGCTTGACAGAGCAGAGTATGGGATTTGAGTTTTCATCCTCTGTGTATTGATGTTGAAATGAGCTGCTTGTCGAGGTCCGCCACGCTCCCCCGCTGTCCCTGGGAAGGTGGTTGCAGATCATGGAGCTGCTGTGGTGGGTGGACTTCGGCCACATGTGTCCGTGGCTTCAGCGGTCTCCCCCGACCTCCCCCAGCTCATCGTGCATAGCATGTCCTTGCCCATCCCCCAGCTCTTCCCACTCAGGCAGGGAGAGGGTGAAGCCGGGGAGGAGCAGGGTGCACAGTATTCGGTCGTCCCTCCCGCGCTGATTGGCAAGGTCGCATTGTCATAAATACACTTGAGTTTGTGTGACTCGCTGGAAAGGCCTAATGTGGTAACCATGAATGTATGTGATTGAAGATTTGCAGTCCTGCTTGATTTGTGTGGCAAGAAGAGTTCCTATGAAGGAGAGACCAGTTCTTCCCTCATCAGAAAGTTTTACTACTCGCCAAGATCTCCAAGGTACATTTTCTCTCCAAAGCAATCATTTGAGAATATCGACCTATTCGTAAGGCAGGGGCTCTGTTCAGGAGATAACGAAGAAGCTGGGGATGGTGACGGGCACTTGGGCAGAAGCCTCGAGGCGCCGCAGGAAGGAGAGGGAGGGACACTTCTTTTCACTGTCTGCCCTTTCGGTCCATGTACTTGTGCTGCCTATTCTAAAGAAGGATATTTTTCTCTTGTAAAATGCTAATCACTTCCATACACAGTAGATGAGTGTGTAGGTGTAATGCTTGCTGTCGTTTCATAGGCAAGATCACTTCACTGGACACAAGCACCATGAGGGCAGCCATGAAACCAGGCTGGGAGGACCTGGTGAGAAGGTGCATTCAGAAGTTCCACGCGCAGCATGAAGGGGAGGCTGTGTCCTATGCTAAGAGGCATCATCATGAAGGTAAGCGTCCCCACGTGCTACTCCTCTTGCAGTTGACATTGCTGTATGACTGCTTCCTGCGGGAGCTTTCTCTGAAACTGTGAGCCTGAAGTTCACCTCAGGAAACTTGGATCTGTTGACTTTTTATGTTTAGATGTGGTTGCATCGTCTGGCCCAGAAAATGTCGCCATCTAAAGGAAAATTTAAGAGGCGCCTGGATGGCTCAGAGGGTTAAGCCTCTGCCTTCAGCTCAGGTCATGGTCTCAGGGTCCTGGGATCGAGCCCCCCATCAGGCTCTCTGCTCAGCGGGAGCCTGCTTCCCCCCGCCCCCCGTCTCTGTGTTTGCCTCGCTGCCTACTTGTGATCTCTTTCTCTCTCTGTCAAATAAATAAATAAAATCTTAAAAAAAAAAAAAAAAGGAAAATTTAATAGAACCTGTAGGACAGAAGAATGAGATAAATCGGAGATCATTTCATAAAAACAGAAGAAAGGGAAGGAAAGAGATCATTTTTTTCTGATCCCAAGGCTTCTGTACATAAATAAGACTATATAATAAGGGGCCACTTAATATCAAAAGAAATCTCTGAATCATAAGGAAAATCTGGAAATAAGAATGAAATGAAATTTGCAAGAGCAGCTGAATTCCTAGTAGAGGGGACAGTGAGATCCTGGGCTCTCCTTCTAGATCATGACCCCTGAAGATGTTTCTAGAAGGCCCAAAGAAATGAAGTCACTTGTCTTGAGGTCACGGGTCAGCTAGCTGACGGTTAATTAGCAAGATGGCTAGAACTAAACCCAGGACTTCGAAGTTCTATGCCAGTAATAATAGCAGCCCTCCTGGGCACGTGGTCTTTGTGCAGTTATCTTCCTTCCTTACACTGTCTTGTGGACCCTCAGCACAGCTGTGAGGTAGGTGTTAGGACTCGACCTGGAGATGGGGACCTAGAAGCAGGTGAAATGACTGGCTTGTCAGCACTGGAGCCTAACTTGCCATCTCTCTGCTGTGCAGTCCCTCTGCTCTGCTGTTCCTGGAGCTCTTCGTACCCAATCACATTTCCTCAAGTGCCTTCTGGTTTCTTGTTCTATCTGTGAGAAAGAAGAAAAACTGCCTTTCCCTGGCACTTATTCAGAACTAAGTGGGGGAAGGAGACACTTCTCCTGATCTTTCAGTCCTCTCGTGCACACTGCATGTCCTGGCAGGGGGCACCTGGGTAGGAGGCCTGGATTACCAGGGAGGGGCTGTGAGGCCTGGGACCAGTGGGGCCCAGCAGAGTGTGCCTGGTAACTCAGTTTGGCAGATTGTCGCATTTTGGCAGAAAAAAAGCCCTAAGCCCCAATTGAAGATAGAGTTTTAGGTTGTCCTCTTCCATTAATGTGCATCTGTGACCTTAGCATTTTACCAGTAGTGTTTGTATGCTTACACTCTGTGCTTTAAGGTCACTTACGGAAAAGTACAAATCATAGTAGATGACCTCTCTCCCCATCCCCTTATTTTTGTCTCATCTTATTCCTCTTTTTCATCTTATTTATCCTTCTTCGAAGTAAGTACATAATCCAGCAATTTGTGCCTTTCAGCATCTTTCTCTAAGTTGGGAAGAATGAGGAAGTAAAGATTCTATATTTGGCAGAAATCAGTATTTAACCTACTATTTCACCAGATCTGGTTTAAAATTTAAAGAATAGTAACAATGGGGGTGCCTGTGCAGCTCAGTTGGTTAAGCCTCTGACTCTTGTTTTTGGCTCAGGTCATGATCTCCAGGGTGGTGAGATTGAGCCCTGAGCCCAGCTCCATGCTCTGCTGGACGTGGAGCCTGCTTGAGATTCTCCCTCCCTCTCTTTCTCGCTTGCGCACGCTTGCTCTCTCACTCTCAAATAAATCTTTCCCAAAAAATAGTAACAACAGGGGGCACCTAGGCATCTCAGTTGATTAAGCATCTGACACCAAGGTCCTGATCTCAGGTTTGTGAGATCAAGGCCCAAGCTCGGCAAGGAGTCGCTTCTCCCTCTCCCTCCCTTTCCCACCACTTGTGCCCTCTGTCTCACTCAAATAAATAAATAAAAATTCTTTTAAAAATAATAAAATAAAAAACAGTAAAAATAAGAAATATGGATAAGAAATCACCATGAGCAAACACATTCAGTGTCCTTGAGCCCTGAGTAGCAATGCCCTACACTCAACTCTGTGGTCTTCCGATTCCTTACAAAAGGGTTTGTAGAAATGTACCAGGCACTGTGGTAGGCTTAAACAGGCAGGACCCACTGAAGGGAAACTACAAAACATATGAAATACTCTGCATCCAAACGTATGAAGTAGGTAAGATCGAAGGTAATCTAATCACATTGAGTAAAAATCTGCAAGTTTGTGTCTAAATGGAAGAGCTTCCTAAATGAATTCAGGTGCATGCTTAACTATGTCTAATTAAGTAGAGATGTTTGGTGTAGACCAGATGGAAATAGAAAATCTTAAGGGATCACAGACAAAATTCCAAAATTGTAAGTTTTTCAAAATAGGAATCCTATTATAAATATTGTATTTATTCTGCCTTATAGGAACCTACTCACTGCAAAACGCAAAATACACATACGCACAGTAATTCATTTCCAGGTCTGCCACTCCTGAGTAATTTCATGCAACACTTGATGGCAGAAATACCTAAGCACTGAATGTAACTGAAACTGCAGAGGGGGTTTCATTAGGGAAATTGCTCAAAGTGAACTTTTACCAAGAAAAACCCAAATCCATACTGTGTGTCAGCGACTCCCTCCCTCACTCCCTTGTGGCAATTTTGTAAAGTCATGAATGTGTTCGATCTGGCTATTTGTGGGGCTAGCTCTTCAACTTAAAGAATTTGTATAGAGGATTATGTGATAAAAACATGGTAGTTTTCTTACAATTGTTTAAGTGGGTTACCAGATTATGTGTCTACTTTTTTTCTGAATCGAGATGTTCTTTTTTTTTTTTTTAAGTTCTTTTTTAATAGGCAGTATTTAGTTGTTTTAAAAGATAAATCTGGGGCGCCTGGGTGGCTCAGTGGGTTAAAGCCTCTGCCTTCGGCTCAGGTCATGATCTCAGGGTCCTGGGATCGAGCCCCGCATGGGGCTTTCTGCTCAGCAGGGAGCCTGCTTCTTCCCCCTCTCTCTGTCTGCCTCTCTGCCTACTTGTGATCTCTCTCTATCAAATAAATAAAATATTTTAAAAAAAAAAGATAAATCTGAAATTTTATTTTAAGAGACATTATTTTAACGTAGGTGATTTGTTATATTTTCTTCACTTGCCTTGAAAATGGAAACACCAGATTCTTTATTCAGAAATTAAACTAATTATACTTTTATTGTTTCAGTTTTCTATTTAGCCTTTTTCTCTTCTGAAGAGACTTTTCTGACTGTTCATCTCTTACTTCCTGTAGTCCCGTCCACAGAAATAATACTCCTTACATACTGAGAAACAGAATGGGGGATAGTATTATGAGATGAAGAACAGTAATAACTTGAAGATGAATATTTGGAGAATATAATGTCATAAATTTTACTGTAATATTTTTATTAGTTTAAAAGGAAACTAAAGGCAAATTGTAATCTTTAAAGATATTATGTTTATGCATTGTATTGTTTTCTGGTATTTTAAACATACCATTGCAAAGCTAGTTTTAAGCCAACAAATGGTTTACATTCTTTTTTACCATGGTACTGAAGATTTTAAAAAGAACATAGTTCGAGGGTCCAAGCCGTATTTTTAAAAAAAAAACCAGTACATTGAATTTATTAGTATTTTGAGTAAAAAAATAAATGTGCTTTTAAAATGTTAAAATATTTCAATATCATGAAATAGTATTTCCAGCTCTTGTTAACATGCTAGTAGGAATATATGAAAATGAAATTTATTACTATTAGTTAGTGTGTCTTATCCTGCCCCCCACTCTCTGATTTTTTTTTTTTTTGGTGAACATGAATTCTGTTTCCTTGCTTGCCCACAGTGCTGAGACAAGGATTGGCGTTCAGTCAAATCTACCGTTTTTCCTTGTCCGATGGCACTCTTGTTGCTGCACAGACGAAGAGCAAACTCATCCGTTCTCAGACTACTAATGAACCTCAGCTTGTAATATCATTACATATGCTTCACAGGTAATCCTCGTTCTAAGAAATCACTCTTTCCCTTCCCCAAATCAAGAGGAAATGGTTCCAAAGCAACAGATCCCCCTAGAGCTTTTCAGCCTTGTTAGACATGTCTGTTCATCGGCCGCACGCAGGTACAATATAAAATTTAGTTGCTATTAACTTCTGACTAAGAGACAACTTGGGATACCGGCAAAGGAGGGCTATCCCTTGAATTTGTGCCTTAATACTAGTGAATTTTAAAACCCCGCTGGAAGAACACAGGCTTCCGCTTACAGGGCTCCGACAGGAAGGCCTCGCCTAAAAGGGAAGGGAAGTTGGGCCGTCCCCCCAGTGGGGACACGTGCCGGTGAAGTAGAAAAGCCACTAGCAGGACTTCTGCTCCTGTGCGTGGAAATCTGAAACTTCCAAGTATATCTACTTAGAGGACTTGTTTTAGGGCTTTTTCCCCCTCAGGTTTAAGTTAACTTCTTGCCATTAGCCTTTCAACTGAAAGGTAATAAACATTTCCATTAAAAAATTACAGTACCAAAAAAAAAAAAAAAATTACAGTACAGAAAATTGAATGTTGATTTTAAAATAAATGTCATAAACTATATTGTTTTAGAGCACAAATTTAGGGAAATGATTACATTTCGCCTTACATAAATATTTATGTATGTACTATATAAAACTTTATGAGGTACTATCAGAAGATACATAAAGTTGCTCTGGTGAAAGAGTCCCCTTGTATTACACTTCTTGATTATATCCTTTCTTATTTGGGAATTAAAAAAAATCAGGCAGCCCTGTTTGCCAACTGTTAATAAATCTGACCTCAAACTGAAACAATTTGAAAGTGATTACAGATGTGCCAGATTTCACCCCCCTAAGTGAAAGCTGATGTTTGATGATTTGTGAAACCTGTTTTGTTTGGATTTGTGAACACATGTGGTAACTCACAAGTGACTGCCAAGGCTGTAAATTAAAGCTCATAGGGCTTGGAAAATCATCTAGCCCAGAAAGGTTGCCTTGAGTCACCAGTAAGGGAGTGGATTGGAGTTGTCTGGACGTTGGGGGGTAAGATCACAGAGCACAGTCACTCTAAAGTTCGGCCCCACATTGTCTGTGCTAGAGTCTCTTGCTTTGACCAGCAAGGGGCTCTGTTGGACAAGGTGATCTAATTAACAATACTTTCAATAACTTCACTGGCTCTAGTACTTGCGGAGTTCCTACTAGTTGAGGCGGGCTCCCCCAACCCCACCCGCCAGTTTTGAAGTATGCTGTCCATCTTGAGCCAAGTAGTATACCTCAGGGCTCTCTGGGCTTACAAATGTGTCTACTGTTAGGAATTGTGATTTGGCAGATAACTGAAGACAGCTCTGCTTGTTAGGGTCCTTCCTTGAAGATGGGACAAGTTCTCAGTTATCCACGATAATATACCATGTAATGAGAAAGATAATATTATGTAATTGGAACCCCGCTCATGTCTTGTCTGGTAACTACGATTTCAATCCAGTAGTAGTCACATTTAAAGACAGCTCCTCTGTAAAACCGCAGACATCTTAATGAGTTGACTGCAAAACATTCCTCCTGGTCCAGAATTACGCGTGCTCAGTCTTGTCCATAATTGCAGATTGTTTCATCCAAGTATTATCTGTCCTGTAAATGTAGTCTGTTCTTTTATAAAGAAAAGAGACCATCTCATTTTTTAAAAAATTAATAACAACTTGCTAAATGCGTTTCCTTTTATATTTCTCTCCTCATCGTACAGAGAGCAAAATGTGTGTGTAATGAATCCGGATCTGACTGGACAAGCGATGGGGAAGCCATTGAATCCACTTAGCTCTAGCAGCCCTGCCCATCAGGCCATGTGCAGTGGGAACCCAGGTCAGGACATGACCCTCGGTAGCAATATAAATTTTCCCATCAATGGCCCAAAGGAACAAATGGGCATGCCCATGGGCAGGTTTGGCGGTTCCGGGGGAATGAACCATGTGTCAAGCATGCAAGCAACCACTCCTCAGGGTAGTAACTATGCACTCAAAATGAACAGTCCCTCACAGAGCAGCCCTGGCATGAATCCAGGACAGCCCAACTCCATGCTTTCGCCACGGCATCGCATGAGCCCCGGAGTGGCTGGCAGCCCTCGAATCCCACCCAGTCAGTTTTCCCCTGCAGGAAGCTTGCATTCCCCTGTGGGAGTTTGCAGCAGCACAGGAAATAGCCATAGCTACACCAACAGCTCCCTCAACGCACTTCAGGCCCTCAGCGAGGGGCATGGGGTCTCACTGGGGTCGTCGCTGGCTTCACCAGACCTAAAAATGGGCAATTTGCAAAACTCCCCCGTTAATATGAATCCTCCCCCACTCAGCAAGATGGGAAGCTTAGACTCCAAAGACTGTTTTGGACTTTATGGGGAGCCCTCTGAAGGTACACCTGGTCAAGCAGAGAGCAGCTGCCATCCGGGAGAGCAGAAGGAGACCAGCGATTCCAGCATGCCCCAGGCCGTGAGCAGTGAGAGAGCCGATGGACAGAATCGGCTGCATGACAGCAAGGGACAGACCAAACTCCTCCAGCTGCTGACCACCAAATCTGACCAGATGGAGCCTTCGCCCTTATCCAGCTCCCTGTCGGACACAAACAAGGACTCCACGGCGAGCCTGCCTGGCTCTGGCTCGACACACGGAACCTCGCTCAAGGAGAAGCATAAGATTTTGCACAGACTCTTGCAGGACAGCAGCTCCCCCGTGGACTTGGCCAAGCTAACAGCAGAAGCCACGGGCAAAGAGCTGAGCCAGGAGGCCAACAGCACAGCTCCCGGCTCAGAAGTGACTGTTAAACAAGAGCCCGTGAGCCCCAAGAAGAAAGAGAATGCACTACTTCGCTACCTGCTAGACAAAGATGATACTAAAGATATTGGTTTACCAGAAATAACCCCCAAACTTGAGCGACTGGACAGTAAGACAGACCCTGCCAGCAACACAAAATTAATAGCTATGAAAACTGAGAAGGAGGAGATGAGCTTTGAGCCCAGTGAGCAGGTAAGTTGGGTCCTGTGTTCTCTCAGGTGTGCCAATCCATACCCAGCAAGGATTTTCACAGGGAGGCTGCAGGTGATGGGACAGAAGTAAGCCTCCTCCTTTGCTGTTCCTACGTGGAGACAGAGTTCATTCTCACTGAAGCTCCCTGTCCGAGATACTCCCGTCTACCAATGAGTGACATCGCCATCGACCAGGGGTAGGCTGACTGACCTTTTTTTTTTTTTTTTTTTTTCCTCTTGTGAAGGGCCAGTGGTAAGTATTTTAGGCTCTGTGGACTGTCCAGTCTCTGCTGCTGTGGTACGAAAAACAGCCATAGATACTATGCTAACAAATGAGAGCTAATAAAACTCTACTGACAGACACTGATCTTTGGATTTGATACAGTTTTCATGGGTCACAAAATGCTCTTCTTTGGATTTTTTTTTTTTTAATTATTAAAAAAATGTAAATCCATTCTTAGCTCAGGGCATAGGAGAACAGGTGGTGGGCAGGATTTAGCCCACAGGCCAGCTGTAGTTTGCTGCCCCTGTTAATAGGAGATGCCTGAATCGGAGATAATCACATCCTTGAAACTGGCTCTGTCAGGACAGACTTCATTGAATTATTTCCCGGTTACCTTTCTCTCTGTTTAAGATCAGAGTTTGGTTTTCAAACCTAATGAATATCATCGCACCCTTCTTTATCGTCAGCTGAACCTTCTGGTTAATGTTAAAGAATTCTTTTCTTTGCTTTTTTAAGAGTTCTTTCCGGTGTAGTGGTTCGGCATAAGATGTCCCCTGGGGACTCGGGGCCGGGCCGGGCTAACGATCCAGGACTTCACCCTGCACCACCAGCTCGCGTTCTCATCCCCGGGAACGGCCTTGGACTTCAAATCTTTTAAGTCCTGATTGTTAACAAGTGAAGAAGCCACATCGGCCTTTCTGCTTGAAATGGTTCGCTAATTTGTCTGGAGATTCGTTTTGCAAGTGGAGAGTTTATGTGTCACTGTCTTGGGGGACTAGGTGTGGATGGGGAGAGAAGAGGGCAGCACTCCTTTGCTGCAGTCTTGAACCCTGCTGAGTCAGCGGAGGCTGGCCCGGGGGCAGGGCTAGGATTGAAAGCAGGAATCAGGAAGGCTGAGGCCAGACACCCCCGCCCCTAGAGCTGGGCTCCATCCACCGAGGTTGTAAGTACTTAGCTTCCTTCATTTCTTTCACTTTGATGTCTTGGCAGCTGCTACATTCCTGTAAGACAGACGTGATTTTTTAAACCTACGTGCCCTTCGCCAGAGAAACATCCTAATTCTGTAATCATCTTTGATAATTAACCCTGGAACGTAGACGTTAGTGGAGGGTTTGACAAAACAGCTATTCTGTAATGCCATGAAATCTGTTAAGTGGGGGAAACTCAAGAGTTTCTTTCAGCAGAAAGTTAAGAGCAATACCTTGGATTAAGTGTAGGGTGAAGCTGTATTGATGACTGTCAGTGTTGAGGTTTACTAGATTAGAATATACAGAGTGGGTGGCAGGCACAGATACTGTCCCCCAGATCTCCCTAACACATGCTAGAGGGCAAGAGGGTGACTCATGAGGGCCACCTTAGCTCCCTGGCTAAGTGGCCGGCCCCTCCCTCCATACGCAGAATTTATTTCATTCCCAGGCCTGAGGCCCGAGGGACTTAGAGGGTCAGGGAAGGGGGACACTGTTTGGCATGTCTATATTTAGTGTGTGATGACGCTAACTTCAGACAAGAAACTGACACACACAGAAAAAGAATTTTTTTTTTAAGACTTTGAGTCACTTGCCATTTCTAATTGTTGTTTAGGAGAAACATTTTTCTAATCAAAATCATCTTACCTAGGGAACATGAGCACAAATCTGTTATTTTGGATGGACCGAAAAGCAGTGTACACACACATACACATAGAATTTTTTTTTCTTAATGAAACCCAGTCCCTGGTCTCACCCTCCATTCACTCCCATTTAAAAATAAAACTCCACCAAAAAATACTGCTTCAGAGCAAATTTAACATTGAAAACATTGCAACTTGAAAAGAAAAGTTACCACAGGAAGTATGCATTACCTAAATTTAGATCAAAGTCAGAATGACTTACTTTAAGGGAAAAACAGTGATTCTTTCACCTCCTGCTCTCCTTCTCTATTCCCAAAACAGATTAATTGTATCTCCTTTTAACTGCTGTACCAGTTTGTTAAAGTTTTTCTTTCATTTCAGGGGAATGCGAGTTTTTTATTTAATGAGATAAACTGTTAGGAGCCTGAATTATACACTCAACTGTCGTGTTATTTTGACTCAGAAAAGAGCCATTAACCAAGTGTGTGTTTAAGCTACCTATAACTTATTAAGGACAGGAAGTACTTCGATGTACTATTTTAGTACACCTAAAATAGTGTTCCTTACTAGGTAGAGTATTTAAACAACATTTGTTTCTATGGCGTTTCGTCACCAACAGGAAGCAGTGACTGAAAAATTTCCAATATGTTTACCGACTTTCAAGTTACATACTTACTTACCCAGTGAGCATGTTGATAGTCTTAGGTTCTTTCTAATGCTACTGGGCCAGTTATAATGAGGGCCTAGAAATCTTCTAAAAGGAACATGTTGTTATTTCGCTCCACTAGAAAGGCAAACCATATTTTAAATGGGCAGTGTCCTGAAAATTTCCCTCCAAATGGGGTATATTTATATTACCGTCTTTTAAAAATTTCACCATTTTTTTAAACAATTTTATGTTAGGCCAGTGTGGTAAAATTACACTTTTTATTTAAATTTTTGAAAAGATGTTTTGTAACTTATTAAAATACTTATGTTATTAAAATGCATGTGCTCTTTATATTTCCTTCAGAGAACAAGTTGATTTGACACATGAAAAATTCATAAAACCAGAAAAATGAAAAATGAAAAATTAAAGAAATCAAGTCCAATTTTCATTTTGTAGAACTTTTATAAAAATCTTTCTGACTCATTTTCTGCCTGAAATAGTTTAAACTAACTATTCAAATTGATGTGGCTAATTTGAGCATTCGAATAGATGCCTAAGCAAAACTTTGAAGAATCTTGGCAAAGCATTTTAAAGGAAGGCATTAATCTTTTTGTCTTGTGAAGAAAATGCCTAACAAAGTAGACATGGACTAGAAAACTTTCGGTGAGAATTAAAGCTTAAAAGAATTTGGGGGGGGGCTATAATATTTGATCAGAAACTTAATGTGATCAAATCTATCCCTTCTAAAACTTACATGACTACAGAAGAAAATTCCATAATTGTCAGATTTTATTGCCAAACAGGCGAAGGGGTTATAATAGACATTCTGAATTTTATGTCCTTGATGAAGAACATTTAAAGTATACTTAAGACAATCTGATGAATGTTAAATGTGTACTCCAGAAATTAACAAGAAATAAACACAAGCAAAACAATATTATCTCTAGTGGGGAAAATTACATAATGTATTCTTCTGATGGAGAGCTGAGAGAATTCAAATAATGCCCATAGTTATGGGGATCCAAAGAACCAGTTTCTTTTGAATATGAAAACAAGAAGTGCCCACGTGGCTTTCTTAAGACAAAAAAGTGTTCAGTTACTTGTCGGAACTAGACTGATCCCCCAGTTGAATCTGGTCAGCAATTAAAATGGCAGAGATTAAAATTTGGAAATCAGTTTTTAATACCTGCTTTTTTATAATACATGCTTTTTAAAAATAAAAATCAACCAAGGAAAATATTGGATTTTAAATTTTCTAATTATTTGAAGTTGAAAAACCAATAAATTGATTTAAACCATCCAAATAATTTATTAGATTTTGTTTATTGAGAGAGGGAGAGAGCACAAGCTGGGGGTGGGGGACAGAAGAAGAGGGGGACAGACTCCCCACTGAGCAGGGAGCCAGACGTGGGACTTGATCCCTGGACCCCAAGATCATGGCCTGAGCCGAAGGCAGAGGTTTAACCAACTGAGCCACCTAGGCACCCAAGCCATCCAAATATATTTTAACATTTTATATGTATAATGTTTAGACTTATTTTCAGTTCATTATATTAGACACAAGAGTAGATTACAAAGGAAGAATCACGAATCTTGTTGATAGAACTCTTTGAAACTATGATGATAGTTATCTTTCTGTTTGATGGACATGGTTTAAAGTATAATTTTATTTGCGTGATAAGAGTCAAGGTAAAAAGGAAAGATAGGAGTCTAGACACAGGCCGTTGTTAATCTACATTGTAAAAACTTTCTTCTACACATAAATGGGATTGGGGGCAAGTATAAGAGCATCTATTGAGGATAATAATATACTTTATATTTATTATTGTTTATATGAACCTTTTTATTTTGGCTGTTTCTCATCCAAGGCAATATGCAAAGCTTTCTCAAGAAGCAGCTTATTACTCACCCCCTCCTTCCTCCTCCTTCACCCCCCAACTCCCCCCACCCCTCTGCCACACACACAGTGAGCTTCCTCAAGGGCCACTTTTTAAAATGCTCTAGAAAAGGCAGCAGCATAGTAGGGAAACTTGGTTTCATAGGACAGCAATAAATTTCAGTTTATTAGAACTTCTTTCTTATGTCTATAGTTATTTTAATGATACAATTGCAAGGGTATTTATTACACATTCTTAAGTATTTTTCTGAGAAAATAATGGCAATTATAGGAATTTCTATGAGAAATATAGTTGATCATGAAAAATTTTCTTAAATCACAGGATAATATGGTTAAAGGAATTCATTCAATTGACTGAGTGTCCATGACTATGTTCCAGGAACTGTCCTTGGAGGACAATAAATGTTCATGCTAATGTTTATACCTTTTGTATTCAGTAAAACATGATCAAGATAGATTTGCAGTGGAATCACTTTATTTGTACATTTAACTTGCACAAAATCCTGTATACACATTCAGAAGAAAGGAAGGGGGCAGCAACGAAGTGGTTAAGTAGTGTGAGCAGTTCTGCCCACCGTTATACCCCATCAGTACGTACCCTAGCAGAGTGATCATGAGGTGGGTGACAAGAGTTCACTGGGTGTGGGTTCTCCTGTGGCTCTAACAGTGTGAACATGTAGCTACGTGTTTTTAAAAGCAGCACAGCCTCTACACGCTACACAGTACACTGTTTAGGACTCAGCTGAAAAAACAGCTTTGTGTTTCCTCTCCGGAGGAGAAACTGACTGTGTTGTCCTTGGAGGGGACACAGGTGTACAGTGAGGTGTCTCATTTTATCTCTCTGTCTATACTTTAGGATACTGACTTCAGAGCCCAGCCCTTAACCTAAGAGGTATCGTTCCCATATTTGATGCCTCCATCTTTTGTCTGAAATGGGTGGCTAAACTAAACTAGAAAATGGTCTCGCAATTGCCCCAGCAACACACTGGGAATTTCCTCAAAAGTGGATCTTTAGGTTATTACTAAGCTAGTTGACTCTGAAGAAGGAATCAAGTAAAATGTCACTTCAGTTTCTCTTTCCTAACTTGAGAAACATGGCCAGTAAGACTTCTCATACAGGTATTACATGTGCCATAAATTGCAGAAAATCTTAGTAAATTCAACCTTTGCATGGGGAATAGGAATTATATATAACAAAACTGTGGGGCATTTTGCTTCAAGCAGACCTCCTATCAGGTGTAAACAATTCTATCTGAATGCCCTGGGTGGACAAAATAGTCATGGTCAAGGATTCCGAGTCCATCCAATGACTTTGGGGGAATTACATAACTTCTGTGTTTCCACCTACACATCCAAGAGATCAGCACTTTCTTCATTAGAAACAACTTCTAACATTTAATGTCTTCCTTTTCTTGTGTGGTTGGCACTGCCTGATAGGTTCTACTTAAAAGAATATAAAATAAGTTGAGCCTTCTGGAGGAAAAGTAGTAGGTGTGAGATAGTGGTAATACGTACCTTATTATTTTGATGTTGGTCATTGAAATGAAATGACTTCTGTAGAAGGAAAAGCCCTAGGAAACCCTGTTCTGCCTTCTGTGAAGTCAGGTTAATAGATGCCGTGTATGGGGACACCCATGTTTGTATCCTGCTTCCCTACATTTTGTCGCCTAAGCTGGTGACTGACTGAGAGAGCTAGTGGCGTTTGAAACTGAAAGTGCGAGCAGGAAAAAAAACACCAGTCAAATTGAAAAGGCAGCGTGTAACTATTCATGGTGACTTTGAGCTGATTTTTCGCTTATTTTGCATTTTACCACCCCCCTCCCCTTAAAAAAAAAAAAAAAAAAGTCCTAGAAGGGAATGACCACCTTCAAAATACTGATGTAGTGTACATTTAGATAATTTTTTTAACCAGTTTTTCATTGTTGTTATTTCTTAGAGTTAACCATAAAACCTAGACCTGGACTCTTAAGTCTAGTATACTCAGAGTTAATCAGAAATATACATATACTCATGACTGATGATTATTATAATCACTTATTATTATAACTAATAAATTATTAAATTATTTATTAGCATACATTATTATTATTATTATTATTATTGTTATTAACATACAATAAAGGGGAATTTATACATTGCCCATGAAGCACAGCACTGGAAGGGAGCTTTCTAATTCAGTCACGACTCTTCTAGATGAGGAAATAGAGGACTAAGAAATTAAAGTTATTTGGCCTTTGTCAGTTATTTTTTAAAAGATGATCAAGCCCCTCATTAGGCCAGAGGTCCTCACATGTGTCCGCGTCCTTTGCGTGGCCGTGGTGGTGCCTCGGGCCAGCTGGGTCTGTAATTGCAGTTGGGGCTGGGGTGCCCACTCTCAGGGTGGGACGGGATAAACTCTTCTGTTTGTCAACTGCAGCCTGGCAGTGAGCTGGACAACTTGGAGGAGATTTTGGATGATTTGCAGAATAGTCAATTACCACAGCTTTTCCCAGACACGAGGCCAGGCGCCCCTGCTGGATCAGTTGACAAGCAAGCCATCATCAATGACCTCATGCAACTCACAGCCGAAAACAGTCCTGTCGCACCTGTTGGAGCCCAGAAAACAGCATTGCGAATTTCACAGAGCAGTGAGTATGCGATATTGGTGGTTATGCCAAGAAATTCCCATATAATCACCATTAGAAACAGTGATTATTAAAATCTGATACAAACAGCTTAGTCACTTCAAGGTTTCTGTGATCCAATAGCACCATCTACTGTCCAGGTTGTTCAAAACGCCTTTCAAAATGGTCTCCAGTGAACAGGGCTTTCCAGCATTCTCGTGCAGTTCATTTCATCAGCGCCCGAGTGAGACTGACCTACATAGATAAAGTTCTTTGGATGGTTGCTGTGTTTCCCTTTATTTTTGCTGCTGCCTTCAGAAATGGAGTTTAAAATAGACTTTATGTGTTTTAGTATATAACTGGATACTTTAAATACAGAAAATAAGAAAGTTAGGCTGACTTTTTAGGAATAAAATGCTCTTAAAAATTCTTAATATTTAATCTTAATAAATGGGCTACACACATTAAAAATACCTTATCCCGTCTCTTAGAAATAATCTTAGAAATGTCAGTTTGAATGGAACTTTATCATACATGTTTTCTAAGTGCACATTAATGAATTTGATATAAAGCTTGGGGACCTTAGACTATTTAGAAAATACATTTTTTCTTCATTTATTCTTTTTATTTTAGATTTTTGTAAGTTTAAGATGAATTCTTTGTTCACCAAAATCACTTAGTTTACAAGCTCAATAATTACCTGAAGTTGTCCAACAGTTGTGAGTGGAAGAAAATATCTTTCCTGTACAAAGAGATGTAACTTATACAAACATAAATGACGTCCTTAGTGTGAATTTGGTAGACAGAATGATTTTTCCCTCATTGAGTACAGTCTGATTGAGTGCTCAGCCTTTGTTCTCAAACTGGAAACAGCAACCATCAACCAATTCACAAAACACCTTTAGTCACTAGGTCTTTTCTCAAGTAATTCTTAATGATTCTGAAATGGGTAAAACAAAATAGTTGGTGTTTGTTATCATCTCTCAAACCTTTGTATTTCTTGAGGAATGGAAGGTACTTCTGGACCATGGGCGCTCACGGTCAAAGAGCTGGGGAGTGAGTAAGAAGCACACTAGAGAGCTTATGCTCATTAATCAGAGGCATTAATGAAGGGCGGCGTGGGAACTCACGCTTTCTCCTCTGTTTGTTCCTCCTGATGGTAATCAGATTATTGAGTGCTAACCAGAGAGCTAAACCTGAGGGAGTCGTGATTAAGTGTAGACTATTTCCATTCCGAGCCCTAATTCTTCTAAATATTTTATTTCTGTTACTAATTGTTAAGAACTTATTTATTCTGAATGTTCTGTTTCATACTATGTTTATGTAAGTCAGTAAAAATAAAATACTTGATATTATTTAACAAAGTAGCTCTGTAAACTGTTATTTATAGTATCTGTATACTTTTAAAATTTAATCATGTTCATCAAATTATTGGTTGTCTCTGTGACAGTACAATGCAGTGCACACCTCACAGTGGATTCTTACCAGCCACCCATAGGAATCCTTTCCAATCTAAATGTGTCCAGAATTTAAAGAAGCTGTATTTAGAAGATTAAACAGGGCCCTAAAGCTTTAATACTGACTTCAGGGGGCAGAGTTCACACTTAAAAGATTTTAACTTCCAAGGCAAATAGATGCTTTTAACCTAATTCTACTCCCAGGAAAGTCCAGTTAAGAAATAATACGTCCAAACCTCACGTGTCTGGGTTTGGCGCTCTCCACAGCAGCGGTTCCTAGCTTCCTCGCTGTGACAAAGCGGTGAGCCTAAATTTGGATGGATAGTGGCACAAATGGACAGGGCCATCTGAGCGTTTCACCTAGCAAATATGACTACATGTTAGAGATTAGTGTTGGGGAAGAAAACACATGGTAAAAGACATGCAGGTTTTTTCCTCTCTTTCTGCAAGATTGTTAATAGTCAAGAGAATTGTTGATTCGATTACGAGTCCACATTTTGGTGTTGCATATGGTTTTGGTGTCTGTGAGTTCTTCCCTTTAATAGGCAGTTGGTCCCTGATGGGCATATCTTTGATACGTTACAGACAGCATTTTCCCTGAAGACTGCTTCTATTGCTGTTCTTTTCCATTATCCTATATTAACCTTCAATTTTCATTTGTTTTCTCCTTAGCTTTTAATAACCCACGACCAGGGCAACTGGGCAGGTTATTGCCAAACCAGAATTTACCACTTGACATCACATTGCAAAGCCCAACTGGTGCTGGACCTTTCCCACCAATCAGAAACAGTAGTCCCTACTCAGTGATACCTCAGCCAGGAATGATGGGTAATCAAGGGATGATAGGAAACCAAGGAAATTTAGGGAACAGTAGTACAGGTAAGGGCTCAAATGCACTGTTACTTTCTTGGTGGGTTATTTCACTTAATGATGCATTCATCCACATCAAACTCGTAGGATTTTTCAAATGAATTTTTTATGTTAGAAACTAATACTAGAAGGTAAGAAAGTTCTACAGACTTTCACTGGGAGAGTGGTATGGAAGCATTGGGAAGCATTCCAGTAAGCTAACCATTTTATACTGTGATCATTACTTTGACGAGGTTTCTAACCATTAATCCTATAGCCTAGGCTGATATCTTCTATTCCAGTTTACTGTTCTAGACATTATAGTGTTCTGTGTAAAATAATTTGGTGGTTGCTGGCATCTCATGTAATCTGCTGATAATCTTTAAAACTTCCTATCAATTGATGATTTGTTTTCGGAGAATTTCAGAATGAAAGTTTAAAATGCAGCCAACTTTTCATACTTATAAATGATACATTTCTTCAGAAAAATATTAATTAAAAATAAAGAACTTTACATGATAATATGCTCGGTCTATGAGTACCAGGTCCAGGGCTCCCCTTTTGAAGATGGTTGACTTTGCCTGTGATCTGGTTTGGACCTTGGCTTGCTATAACTTCAGGTGTCTGTCATGTTGCCCCTGCACAGTTGCTATAGTCAGTATCCTCACAGCTACCACGTTCCCCAACTTCCATCTAATGAAGGCTAGAAATCATCTCAGCAACAATGATTGCTATTCCCACCATGTCCTGTCCCCCCTATCTGTTTATCACAGACCTAGTAGCAGAATGCCAAGTTTCCTAATGAAGAACTCACAATTCATAGCCTTCTTCTTTGGCAAAATGAAGTACTCAGGAAAAAGGCATTGGAGGAAATAGATATTATAGAAAGAATTTGTATTCTTTTTTTTTTTTCTTTTAGCTTAGTTGTGTAATCTCTCTATACACATTGCCATTTTAGACAGCTAACTGAAAATGAGAGTTCAGTTTAAGGGGAAACTTGGATTTATTTATTTTCGGGTATTGATGCAGTTCATGGGGAAATGTGTACCGTGCTATATTAAAATCGTTGATTCCTTCAACAAATATTTATTGGGCGCCTACTATATGTGCCAGGCACTGACTACTCCGCTACTTTATATATCCACAGAAATAAGGGCCATATTAATTTTGTAATTGAAGATAAAGTGTTGATTTATATAAACAAAATACTGCTTGGGACTCCTGGGTGGCTCAGTCGGTTAAGTGGCTGCCTTTGGCTCAGGTCATGATGCTAGGGTCCTGGGGTTGAGCCCCGCATCGGGCTCCTTGCTCAGTCGGGAGCCTGCTTCTCCCTCTCCCTCTGTTTGCTGTTCCTCCCGTTCGTGCTCTCTCTCTCTCTCTCAAATAAATAGAAATAAAATGAAATGAAATGAAATGAAAAATTTTTTTTAATCTTTAAAAAAATACTGCTCTCTGCAGCAGTCTATAACACCAGAGGAGCCAGTGGCTTATTAAAAGTGCCTCCTTAGGGACACCTGGGTGGCTCAGTGGGTTAAAGCCTCTGCCTTCGGCTCAGGTCATGATCCCAGAGTCCTGGGATGGAGCCCCACATCGGGCTCTCTGCTCGGCAGGGAGCTCTCTCTGTCTGCCTCTCTGCCTACTTGTGATCTCTGTCTGTTAAATAAATTTAAAAAAAATTTTTTTAATTAAAAAAAAAAGTGCCTTGGGGCGCCTGGGTGGCTCGGTGGGTTAAAACCTCTGCCTTCGGCTCGGGTCATGATCTCAGGGTCCTGGGATCGAGCCCCGCATCGGGGATTCCTCCTCTCTCTGCCTGCCTCTCTGCCTACTTGTGATTTCTCTCTGTCAAATAAATAACTAAAAAAATCTTTAAAAAAAAAAAAAAAGTGCCTCCTTATTAGGAGAACACAAGAAGCTCTGAGTTCTTGGAGGAATTCAGGGGTACACCTGTTTTGAAATTTGGGCCTCCAGAGATCACTGATGTCTAGACTCTGAAGATCATATAATGTCTGTGATTTGCTTCAGAAAAGAAAAAGCCTGAAAGAGACTGAGTCCCCAGTTACTATAATTGCGGGAATATTGTTGAATTGCAGGTCATTTTTCCTTCTGCTTTCTGGACTTGCTATAATCTTGTTACATTATTTAGAGACCAGATTTTCTGAAAAATACAATACCTGTTCTCCCATAATACACTGTGTGGTTCAAATTTAATCTTCAAATGGTTTTTAAAATATATGGTACTATAATATTGTTCTAACTTTTTCAGTCAGATTAATTACCCTTTATTCCTGATTATCCTAACGTAGCACATTCTCATTTCACCAGTGAAAAGCAACCCACAATACATGTTCTCTCCGTTTCTTAAATATACCCTATTTTTAGTTATCATAATTCAAGTAAATGAAAGCAAGCCATCTATTTGAAAGCAGAAGTTTTTGGTTTTTTTTAAGATTTTATTTACTTACTAGAGCATGAGCGGTGGTAGGGAGAGGCAGAGGGAGAACGGACTCCTGCTGAGCAGGGAGCCCAACACAGGGCTTGATCCCAGGACCCCAAGATCATGACCTGAGCCAAAGGGAGATGTTCAACCGACTGAGCCACCCAGGTGCCCCATCATGAAAGCAAGACTTTTATAGACCCATCATTAAACATTTCAAAATGCTAGGTTCTCACTTGGAGTTTTTCCCCTTTAGCCAATATTTGGCCGCTGTCAGCAGGGCCAGGCCAGAGAGAGTGAACACTCACTCCTGCCTGGAGTATTGTGCTCTTACTGTTAAGTGTGGCCCAATAACTGATAATATCTCAAGTATAAGAAGATTTTTACCAGTCTGCCCTAAGCCATTCTAGACCTATGTAATCAGGAATGTGGTGGTCCATGTATGCTAAAGTTCCCTAGAAGTGGGAGTTCCCTTGCGTTGGATATAAAAAACTGTGGTAGAAAGCTCCTGTAATTTCTTCATGTTTTAGAGGCTACCATGGTCAGTTTCGAAGCTTAACAAATGATAGTACTCCGAAAGGGATCTGAGGATTTAAAGATGTGACATCAGCTTTATGGGCCGTTCTGGGATTTGGATTTATAACCAGAGTATCGATGACCAGCTTAAACCTTGTTTCTCTTCGCCCTCACCTCCCTTTTGGAAAGTAAAGCACTGACGTGTAGATCAGCTAATGTGATTCACTTCCTGAGGAAGGAAGTTGGGGTTATCCACACACCACAGCACCTGTTTCTAAGTACATATGGGAACAATTTTAACAGCTTTTCCGAACCATGAAGAGTGGCAAGTCTGTGCTTTGAAAACTGTAGAAATTGCCAACTCTTGTTTCTCCGCCAAGGGTCTGCGTCTGTCCCAACGAGGGCGTTACCTGTTGGGCTAACTGTGTATTACAGAATGACTATCCTGTACAGAGTAAGAGCATCTGGTGTTCCTCCGTGCTGCCTCTGCTTTCAGTTACTCCATGTCTGTTCCCTTTGGCTTGCCTGCAGGAATGGTGGGTAGCAATCCTCCCCGGCCCGCTATGCCGTCTGGGGAATGGGCACCACAGAGTTCTGCGGTGAGAGTCACCTGTGCTGCTACCACCAGTGCCATGAACCGGCCAATCCAAGGAGGGATGATTCGGAACCCAACAGCCAGCCTCCCCATGAGACCCAACAGCCAGCCTGGCCCAAGACAGATGCTTCAGTCTCAGGTCATGAATATAGGTAAGGTAGTTCTAGTGCCCCTTTTTTTTTTTTTTTAAGATTTTATTTATTTATGAGAGAGGGCACACACAAGCTGGAGGCGGGGGGATGGAGGGAGAAGGAGAAGCAGCCCCCCCCCTGCTGAGCATAGAGCCTGCCATGGGGCTCAATCGCCGGACCCAAGATTATGACCTGAGCCAAAGGCAGACGCTGAACTGACTGAGCCACCCAGGCACCCCTATAGTGCTTTTTACTTTTAATCACCATTCTTTCTGAGAAGACAGTAACAGCTCCAAAAGTTTTTTCAAGATATGCTCTTCATTTGCAGTTTAGATGATTCCCCTCATGGCAAGCTGTCATAAGGGAGATTTTGCTAGAACTCTGTATAGAATTATAAAATCTGAAAAGCTTTCTAGTTACATTAGAGAACCAACTATATTTGTGGTGTTTTATTTTTATTAAGTTATCTCATTTCAACCTTGGGGGGAAGTGAATTGGAGTGTCACACTGTGAATGTTATACATATGCTATTTTTAAAAAGTATTTTAATGTCACAGCAGTGGCTCCTAGCTCTGGGTGATCATCAGAATCATCTCAGGACATGAAGATGCAGATTCTTGGGGCCACCATCCTAGACTATTAAACCAGACTTTCCAGGGTCTTCTAGACAAGGTCTTCTAGTACATCTACAGGGTCTTCTAGAACATCCATAAAGTGTGAGGCTAGCTAAAATTCTATTTGGATACAGTTCACATGTTATTAAAATTAATGGTTTGATATATTATACGGTACCATTTGTACGAAGTGTCCAGAATAGACAAATCTCTAGAGAGAGGAAGTAGTAGGGAAGTGATTGCCTCGGGCATAGGGTATGGGAGACATGGGGAGTGACTCCTAATGGTCGTGGGGCTTCTTTTTGGGGGAATAAAAATGTTTTAAGCCCCATTGTCATAATGGTCGTACAACTCTGCAAATACACCGAAACCCACTGAGTCATATACTTTAAACGGGTGAATTATGTGGCACGTCAATTATACCTCAATAAAACTGTAATCTTAAAAAAAAAATGTTAATGGTCTGTACAACTCATACTTGAGATTGTTTTCTTAATCATCGACATAATAACCTTTTCTAAATCTTGCACATTAGCATAATTCAGATAAGTTAGTGTTTATGTCCTTTGTCATATACTTAGGTATGGTACAATGAGTAAGAGCTAAATCATTAACGGAAAGCTACCAGGATTGTTTTGACAAGACAATGCAGAATTCTCATCCTACCTCTGGTCTGAGCTTTCCTACCTAGTTGTGTAATTGCTCAGCACATTTTGGCATGTTTCTGAGAGGTGACATTCAGATAGCCTTTCTGCGGAGAATGTACTTCGAATTAATGAGTGGTTTCTAAACATAATTCATATAATTTGAGGCTTCTGTGGAACAGTGCTAAAAATGACCAGATTTTCATCCAGAATTAAGATGGGAAATCTTTTAATATATTGACTTATTCATTTAAATGTCATAATTAAGGGCACCTAGCTGGCTCAGTCGGTAGAGCATGTGACTCGTAAGCTCAGAATCGTGGGTCTGAGCCCCATGTTGGGTATGGAGGTTGCTTGAAATACAAAAGAAAAGAATAAATAAATATCATAATTAATAAATCCCTTATATCCAGAAATTTAATTTATTCTCTGTGTTTCTTTACTGGAGGGCACCTCACCTGGCCTTTGAGCTGTGTATTGTGTTGCTGAATTTCTCTGATTTTTAACAAATTCAAAAAAGCCCTAAACTCAACAGAAAATTATCTATTGTAATGAAAGACAGGTCTGCAGATGGTGGTAACAAAAAAATCACTGAAAAGCTTATGTCACCCATTAGCTTTAAACCTCTAAAAAGAACTTCTAAGAGAGCACATCTGAGTTGTCTGGGCTTGCTTTCTGTTCCATCCTCTCTCTTCAGGAAGAGCTAACTGAATGACCGTTAACATAAAAGCTCAGTTCCGTAATAATCCTGAGACCCTCCTGGCCGTCTTCACTCTCGCCTCTCACAAGCATACAGTCGAGTTCTGGAATTTATGTGCTGTGCGCTACCGCCGTAGGGGGAATGTGAGAGCACGTAGTAGTCTCTGTCTGGCTCTCCTCTATCAATCCAGACATTAAAGTGATTTTCCAAAGTCTGAAACAATGCCAGTAATAGGGTTTTTTTCCATTTCTTGTTTAAAAAACTTGTTCGGGGGCACTGGGATGGTTCAGTTGGTCAAGCGACTGCCTTCTGCTCAGGTCATGATCCCGGGGTCCTGGGTTCAAGCTCTGAGTTGGGCTCCCTGCTAGGTGGGAAGCCTGCTTCTCCCTCTCCTTCTGCCCCCTCCCCCTGCTTTGCTTTCTCGTTCTCGGTCAGATAGGTAAATAAAATCTTTAAATAGGTAAATAAAATCTTTAAAAAAACAAACCAAAAAAGCTTGTTTATGTTAACATATAGTGGATTTATTGTAATTATTTTATTTATTTATTTATTTATTTTTAAAGATTTATTTATTTATTTGACAGAGAGAGATCACAAGTAGGCAGAGAGAGAGAGAGGGAAGCAGGCTCCCTGCTGAGCGGAGAGCCTGATGCGGGACTCTATCCCAGGACCCTGAGATCATGACCTGAGCCGAAGTCAGTAGCTTAACCCACTGAGCCACCTAGGCGCCCTTATAATTATTTTAAATGAGTGAATAATTGTTTCCTTCTATTTTCCAATGTTAACTCCCCATACAGTAAGTATCAATAAGATATAAACCACATCAACAAAACTACAGGGTCAGGGTGCCGGGGCGCCTGGCTGGTTCATCAGTTAAGCCTCTGACTCTTGATTTTGGCTCAGGTCATGAGATTGAGCCCCCCATTCCACCCACCTCACTCCCAAAGGGCTCTGTACTCAGTAGGGCGTCTGCTTGAGATTCTTTCCCTCTCCCTCTGCCCCTTCACCGCACCCACTTGCTCTCTCTCACTCTCTCCAAAAAAAAAAAAAAAAGAGAGAGAGAGAGACTATAAAAAGTTTAGAGCTGGCATTCTAGATATTGCCTAAGTGGGTGATAGGCCTTGATATTCATTGCCTTTGTTTCTGTTTCAGACCAAAAATTCAGTCTTCTTATTTTCACCTAATGATCATTGCATCTGTCTTTTTCACTTTATGTAAACCAGGTACTTCACTTTATATTACATAGCAGAAATAGGCACTTCCCTGATGACAAGTTGTGAAGTTTTTGGATTTTTGTCTTCTGTCTTTTCAGGGCCATCTGAATTAGAGATGAACATGGGGGGACCTCAGTACAGCCAACAACAAGCTCCTCCAAATCAGACTGCCCCGTGGCCCGAAAGCATCCTGCCTATAGACCAGGCATCCTTTGCCAGCCAAAACAGGTAAGTCCTGAGCACCCAGGAAATCCAAGAGAATCGTGGTTCATGGTGAGTTCTGGAAGTTACTTTAGACCTCTGCCGGAAGTTACTCTTTTTCTTCTAAACAGTTGGTCCTGGCCAGTTTTCATGTATTCAGACTAGATCATCAGTTATTGGACAGAGGGTATAGAGAAGGAGAAATCGAAAAATCAGGGAGACCTAGGGCATGTCTTTAAAAAGTTATGATTTAGTTGGAAAATAAGATGTACATTAATAACTGCAATAGAAAGTAGTGTGTACTATAAATGCCTTAAGAGGAATAAATTGGGAAAGAGCGTCCAACCGGAGTGGTTGGAGAAGGCTTCATAATCTGGAAGGAAAGATGTACTTCAGGAGGCAAGTGGCAGGAAGCCAGTCCAGCGGGTCAAAGCAGCACAGTCAGAGCCTGGAGGCTGCAGAAACAGCTCATGTTTAGGGTAACTGAAAATTGTCTAGTTTTCTGTCAACATATATTTTACCACTTAATATAGTAAAGGCAGTACGAGAAGACTTGGCAAGAAGAGGGATTAGTAATAGGTCTTAAATCCGAACTCTGAAGAATTCAGACTTTTTCATTAAGCCACTGAAAAAGTTTTTTGAGAAAGGAAGTGGTAAGTGATCATGTTTGATTGAGATTTTTTTGGTTCAGATTATCAGTCTAATAATTTTTCTTTGTGGGTGATCTTTTCTGTCTAGTTGCTTTTGAAATACTCTTGGTATTTTCTGTGTTGTACCTTTACTACAGCGTGTCTTTGGTGTGGATTGATTTATACTGCTTGGTACTTGGTGTATGCTGTACTCTTTTTAATCTGTAGATTCGTGGTTTTCATCAGTCCTGGAAGATTTATAGCCGTTATCTCTTTATATTCTACCCCCTCTCTATTTTCTCTATTCTGTCCTTCCGGGATTCTGGTTAGATCTATGTTACACCTTCTCTGCCAACACGGGATCTTTAAAAATTCTGCCCTCCAGGAGCACATGAGTGGCTCAGCCAGATAAGCATCCAACTCTTAATTTCAGCTCATATCATGATCCCAGGGTTGTGACATCAAGCCCCGAGTTGGGCTCTGCACTGGACATGGAGCCTGCTTCAGACTCTCTTTCCCTCTCCTCTGCCCCTCGCCCCCCCAAAATAAACTCTGCTTTCTTAATCTGTGTATTTTCCATCTCGTCTCTCAGTACTACATCAGGATGAATTTTTATCCAGTTCTTTAGTTATCTCTTCAGCTGTGTTTGGTCCAGTCATGTTTTTCATTTCTATAAGTTGTATTTGCCTGGTCTGCTTTTCACAGCCTCATTGTTTGTTTATTTTTGTGGTTCCATCCTTATATCTTTAAGCATTAAGTTCATCATTATTTTTCTGAATTTCTTTAATTCCAATATCTGGATTTCTTAGAGGTCTAAAATCCAATGTTGACTCTCACTTATGAAGGCCTATTTCCCTGAGTATTTTGGTAATCTTGCATTGGAAGTTCGTAAGTGTCTCTTGGCCAGTGAAACATCTAAGGTCGAAATTGTGGACACTTTCCTTAAAAGTGAATTTGCAGTGCTCTCTGCCAGGGGTGGGGGTCTGCTCCAGGCTCCCTCAGTTCAGTCCAGCAGCCTCAAGTTAACTCTTTTATTTCACTTTGGCCCAAAACCCTAACTCTCTTACTGCTTTCTTTTTTTTAAAAGATTTTATTTTTATTATTTATTTGACAGACAGAGATCACAAGTAGGCAGAGAGGCAGGCAGAGAGAGAGGAAGGGAAGCAGGTTCACCGCTGAGCAGAGAGCCCGATGCGGGGCTCAATCCCAGGAACCCGGGATCACGACCTGAGCTGAAGGCAGAGGCTTTAACCCACTGAGCCACACAGGCGCCCCTGCTTTTTTTTTTTTTTTTTTTT